CACTTTAGCCTGGAAGTTCTAGCATGTTGGGTTTATTCCAAGAGCTGGGACCGTGCCGAATCAATAATGCTAGTACAGCTGTGACACTAAACCCCTTCTCTTGGAACACGAATGCAAATTTGCTGTTCATCGACCAGCCTGTCGGAGTAGGCTTTTCTCATGGAACGATGAATGTTGGAACTTCCGAGGAAGCTGCCGCGGATGTCTGGAATTTCTTGCAAATTTTCCTGTCGGACAGTAGATTCTCGAGCCTGCAGAGCCGTGACCTTGCTATCTGGACTGAGTCGTACGCTTTCTGCTCGTCTCCTCACATGCCGTCGAGTCTTACGACCCTTCCTTCGACATTATAGTTACGGTGGCCACTACGGTCCGACCTTCGCTGCGTGAGTCTGACTTTAGTCGTATACGGCATCTGGGAGCCAACATACCCAATACAGGTATTTCTTGTCTCAAAATGAGGCTATTGCGCAAGGATCGATCTCTGGTATTACACTAAACTTGAAGACCTTGGGCGTTGGCGACGGCTTGACGGTGTGTACAGTGATCTCTGATCGGATGTCTTCTGAAAGATTTCTTAGGATCCTTTGTCTCAATATCCCGGTTACATCACATATGCTGGGTCGAATCCTTACCATGCCCTGGTCTCAGCTTCCACTATATCTCGCGCCAATAGCTCATTCCTGTCCTCGACCGGCTGTAAAGAACAAGTTCGTCAAACTCTTCTCTACGAGTGCCAAGAAAAGCTCATCATTTTTTAATACTAGATCAATGCCTGTAATAACGGCGGTTCAAACTCTGTATGTTCCAAAGCCCAATCATTCTGCAACGACAATATCTTGTCGCCTTTGGCGGGGAACTTTGATGTACGTTCCAGTAGTTCCTTGCTCACTTTTTATGAACGAGTCGAGCAAATTACGATATCCAGGTTTACTACATCCTCGCCACAAATCCTGACCCATACCCTCCGGATCTGACCAGCTACCTCCGGACAATTGAGACAAAGATTGGCGCTGAATCAACCTGGCAGGAAACGAACGACGACGTATACAATAATTTTGCGGCCACTGGTATGATTTTTTCGCATGTCTTTCGCATCTGCTTCTCTTAGAGGTTCTTCAGGCGACTGGATGAGAAATTCTCGTCCTGACCTTGAGACTGTCATCAATGCTGGGGTACGTTTATCTCTCAAGGTTCACATCCCAACTCAAACGGTTTGACATACTTGATGACAGGTTCGCGTGGTCGTTTATGACGGTGACGCAGTAAGCCTCGTAAACCCATACCAGACACTATAGGTAGAATGATGATCTCTGTCTAACAGGACTATATTCTCAATTTCAACGGAGTGGAGGCAATGGTAGGTATTCAAACTCGAGCTCGGAGAACGCCGACTCAGATACTTTTGTAGGTGAACAACCTCGACATGGAATTTACTTCCATTCTACAAGCGCAGTCATTCCAGTCCTATACCGTCAATGGCCAACTCGCAGGACAGTACAAGAACGCGGGAACATTCTCCTACATTCGAATTTATGGAGCAGGGCACGAAGTCCCAGCATACAAGGTTGGTAATCTCCTTCATGCTTCTACGCATGGTAGCTAATATCATCGTTAATAGTTTGGTAACTTGGCGGTTGGTACTTTCATTAATGCTTCTAAGATAAAAGTTAATATTCTCCCGTTCATAGTACGGACAGGCGGCGTTACAAATGTTCCAGCAGATTATGGCTAATGAGTCTTTGAGCTCCACATAGACACACTGTTCTCTGCCGGGATTTGGATGACTCGGATTGCAAAGGTGTTGAGTATTAATCAAAATGAATTCCAGATTAAATAGTGCAGCGTAAGAGCTGATTTTTTTCTCTATGAAAAAATACTTTGTTTTTCCGGCGTTGGTTTTTTCCAACAGTTTTATTGATGAACGGCATAATCATGAAACCCAAAATTTTCAAGAGCAAGGCCCATACTGAGATCTTGAGTTGTCACGGTCACAAGCCAACGTAAGTCGTGACTGATCGCGTAGGTGGCTCATCAAATTTTCCAAATTTTCTGGACCTGTTTGCGAGTTTGACATGATGTTGAGCAAAGATTATGGAGAAAACTCTATCAAGAGAAAATCCTATATTCACACTCTCTGTCTGTTTCATTCGCATGGAAGGCTTCGGAGTACGAATACTTCACTGAGCGGCGGCGTGATTGCTAGTAGGGAATTCGGATAGATCAAGTGAAAAACTAGAAACTGATCAGCTTCAGTGTCATCGTTGGGGAGTGACATTACCAAATTAAGTGCCCGTTTTCGCAACGAAGACCGGGTATACGCCCTCATTTTACCTTTGACACTTCTATCTTTTTGCTGAACGAACTCATACGGGACGGTACCCCGCCTGAGAGCTCAATTTTCAAGCTCTTCCAATTTTGCAATCGTACTGATTCCTTTATAGAACATCTACTTCTCATGTAATCCATGTGTTTCGTCCAGAAAATTCTACTTACCGCTTACCCTATCGTCAGCATTGATTCGGTTTTTGCGAAGACAGCGCCATATGCCAGTGTTTCCATTCAGTCGATTTATCATACAACTACAAAGCGACATACTTCCAGACAAGCTTGTCCTCTTTGGAACTATAACATGATTGATCAGATTTTCGAATTATTGAATGGCTCTGAACCAGTACCGGTTCAAAAAGCTATCTTGACAGGATTGCATCCGAATCTGTATCTTCTCGACCGACATTCCGGGAGAGGCCCGAGTATAGGCAAGATAAGTACTATCAGCCCAGGAGTCCGAGTCGAGAAGTGGACACAGCAACTTCCAAGTTTCCCTCCCTTTCACGTTGACTGTCATGACTTGTGTTGCAAAGGACTCGGTTGGTAAAACGATTTTCGAAGTTGAGATCCTGGAACTAGATTTGGATCGAGTCCCTTTTGAACTAGCATGATTCTTTCTATCCTATCACTAATAAAAGAGAGGCAGCATTGTAGTTCCAGATGTGCTACGGACGGATCATGAGAGATACGGAGTGCGTATCTTAGAGACTTCGTTTAGTAGTCTTTGTCCGCCATGAGTGATTTCATACATACATGTCAAGGGGTAAGGAACTATATGTGCCATCCTACCCGGTAAGAACGCCCACCCAAGCCGTTTTAGCTGAACGCCATTCTAAATCTGCTAATTATGCTCAGATCGTGGTGCAGTTGACTCTGAACATCCTTCAACTCGTTCTCATGACAGGGGCTTCGAAGCCGCCGTACAACTTGTGAAAGCGAACCCAAGAACTTGTCCTGCAGTCAAAAGTGGCGCATGACACCCTTTACTCTATGAGAATAATGGTGTCAGAGGAAACTTGCTTCCAAGTGCTATATACAGTCAGTTTCTCTATCTGCTATTTAATCGGGCTTCCCGTGCCTGCGCTGCCCTGCATGCAAAACAGAACTCGTCCACTCGGTCGATATCTCTTTGTATTTCGCGTCCGAAATTCTATCGGTTGCAGACCAGATAATAGGACATGTGGTCAATGACACGCTTAGTGGAAGATCGGCAGTTCATCATACTTTTGTACAAGTCGGCAACCGACAATTTGGTGGATGCACGTAACTTCTTTCGCAGTAAATAGAGTTGCAATCCATGATCGCTGTGACCAGATGCCTTTGGAAATGCTGAATAACATGCATTCATTCCTCTCCAGGAGCTTGCTCGAGTAGTACGTACACCACACTTCAACCATCTCGTTCCTTCGCTAGAGAGAAGCGTCAGTTGGACAACCATAACGCAGTTTGAAGGTCGGCCTACGCTATTTGCTGGCACATCTCACCAAAATGTAGAGTGTCGCTCTTGAAGTAGTCAAATACAATAAAGCTCGCAGCTACGCGATAAAGGCAGAGATGAGTGTAAGACCAGAAACTTACGGCAAGGAGCCCGAGGATAGTTTACTCCTTCATACTTATACCAGAATCCACCCGACAGCGGCATGTTCCTCGCTGCGATTGGCTTGGAACTGTCCCATCAGTGGTTAGTCCTGTATTCGTGAGATCACCTTCATTATCGCACATGTCCGAGCTTTTTTTCTGCCTTCTTTTCATTGCCATTGAGGAACGGGCATGTGATGCGCGGTTATCTCTGCTTTAACACTGGCATCGATTATTTTTTGTGTAGCGATGCGGCTGTCAGTAAAGGGATACACCATCAAATCCCTGAGTGATTCGAAAGTTCTCCCGAGATGAAAGTTCGTCATTCATATTGTCCTCGAATAAAATTCATCTTGGCTCTTTTCAGCCCTTTCCGTGATGGAAGAACCGCTGCAAAGTTGTCAGCATATCATCAATGGGCCGTTGGTCAGAAAATGAGAATCACTTTTCTCGCTTTATCAGGCAATTGGCTTCGAAGAAAAGGAACGGCCTGCAATGAGTTCAAGACAACCCGGTATAAACCTCACATATCGACATGTGCGAGTGCAAATTCCCATCGGACTGGTTCAAGACCTCCGTTATTTTTGTACGGATATGTTAGAAGTAGACCTTCACATTATATCGCCATATCACGCTCTGAACTGGCTTCGAACGCGAACAGTGGGCTTAGGATTCAATGCAAGATCAGCTGAATAGTTCAAGATGCGAATCGGCCTGCAATTGGATGATAAAAATTCAGCCTATACCACCGGACAGAACGTAGTTCTTGCATGTCAGTTACCTGCTGGCTTTCCATCTAGGTCATGGATTCAATTCGAAGGAGTAAAACGTTGCGAATGAGTTATGATTCGTAAAACTTTTTCGGCTTTACGTATTCAGCGGCATTTGGTAACGGCAAATGAAGACTAACAAGTCGCTGAAAGGGACGGTATACCAAAAGCATGGCGTGGGATGAACGAGCACTGAACCTTCAGTGAATGATGAATGGATATAAGAATTCACCGCCGATGAGGTATTAAAGGCTTCTGAAGGCGGATTTATTCTTCTCGATTTCTTGTCGCCATCTGGTAAAAAAATTTGCCCACCATGTTGGAGGCCGACTAGCTCGGTTGGTTAGAGCGTCGTGCTAATACAATTGTATAAACGCGAAGGTCTTGGGTTCGATCCCCACGTTGGCCATACTTTTCTGACTGCTTTTTTTTTAGCGCTCTTCAATCCTAAGTACTCAGATTCTTCCAATCCTCCTAAAGTTGATCTAATAGTAAACGAGGAGAATTTGTTGGTTGCACGACAGTTGGCGTACTCAAAGCGAAGAAGAGAACGGGAATGTAGTGTGGTAGGTTTGGTATATGAATTTCCTTTTTCGTCAAGTTCACCTCCCAGCTGAGCGTCATAAATAGTGAGGGTCTGATACATATGTCGTGATGGCGCCAGTTATGGTGAATAACGACTTAGGTATCCTATAGTGGACATAGAGCATGCAATGACCAGAGTAAGGTTATTTATTAGAGAAGTGTAGCATGGTGAGCAGAGAGATAGACCAAATGGGGATGAAATTAAACTTTTCCTCTCTTTGACTTTTTCGGTTCATGCTAAATCCCCCCAAAAACTCAAATCTCAAGAGCAGTTTCATGTACGTAAATAAAATTCTTTCATCACGCTATTGAGCTTCTAGGATTACACCTAGGTTTGTAAGAGTAGCGTGTCACTTCGTTTCGATTCTACAGGCAAAATATAAACTACAATAGTGCTAAAAGATACGCAATAGCAGGGTCAAGGAAAAATTTCAATGCTCGTTGCAAATTTTCGGGAAGATTTAACTCGAAAAGAGAAAAGACGATGGCGCAGAAGTGAAGAAATTCTCTACTAGATTGTACAACCATTAATGGAATGCAAGTGCAAACAGTTCCAACAGAAATGGATCGACGGCAAGGAAAAACTAGAATGGAGAAACCTCAAGACGGAATGAATTTGTAACTGCGAGGAAAGCAAACAGTGGAAGAGTCCTTGAGTAAGAAAAGGCTTTTCGGCCCTTATCGTGCCTTGTCGAGTACTGCTTCCACCCTCTACCACTCAATTCCATCCAGAAAGAGCCTCAAACCAGCTTTAATCTCTCTTGAGGTTCCTCCTGACTATGAAGATCCTTTCTCCGTCATTCGTTGCCGTCATCTCCTGTACGCCCTCAATGCTCTCTAATCCATGAAGAGGACTGCCTTTGGCGAGAACGATATACATCTCCAAACCATCCCCGACCTACGAAGGCAACAGTGGTAAGAAGAGTAGTAAGCCATAAAATGAGTGAAAAATATTCAAAAACAGTGAAGTTGATAGGTAAGCGTGACTTACTTCAATATGCCTCTCCGTCGCACTCGTAAAAGAATCGATCACTAATTGAATCACTGTAGTCAGTGAAAGATGTTTCGGGTGAGGGCGACCAGGTTGCGGGACTTGATTCTTGAAGTAGATCTATTGATCAAGAGAAAAAAGTCAACAACAGGAATAATCGAGAGACGAGGGCATAGCAAAAGCAAATGTGACATTAAGAAAGATAAAAGAAGCAAGTAGCGGAGATTTCGATAGGTTTAAAAAGTTCCAATAAGTGGGAGACAGTCTAGACTCGCGCCCGCATGACTAGTGACTTCGACCTATACGAGAAGGGCAGACGAGTTCATCTCCGAGCTGAATCCGAAATCTCATGCCAAACTCTGGAAATGCGAGCAGCCATGACAGTGTACACAGGGATGGAAAGGTGGGAGGATTGTTAGGGATGGAGAAGTGATGGAAAGAAACTAAAGACAGCATTTTTTTCAAGAGAAAATAAATAAAAATTGATAAATCGGGAAAGGGTCGGAAGGGATTCAAGGGGCAACAGACTTGCAAAGTGAACTGGTGGCAGCATGACGGAATGTCGTGTAATTTGACGAGAAGCACAAGCAATTGTGTACGGACCCGCACCAACCCAAGCCAACCTGGCTCACTGTCAAGCCTGTAAACGCCACCTATCGGAAAGAACGAGATAGGTTAAGGGCCTCCGACGCATCACCTAGCTTCCCGCGGATGTACGTCCGTGTCTGCACGACGTTTGCGGAGAGCACAGGTGACCGACCTATCCTTCAATCTCGTGTTCTTCCAAACACCATGCACTCCAGGATTGAGCCGACAAATATACACGAGCGACAGACCGGTAAACCCTACACGCTCATGCCCGAGGGTGCATTTTTAGGCAGGCAAAAAAATGAGGAGGAGGAAGAAAAAGAGGCTTCAAAAGTAGAGCATAAGGATACCACACATCAGAGATCAAGCGCGTCCAACACGCGCCCCCTGCGAAGAACGACCTCGAGAGAAAGCGGATATGAAAAAGGAAAAGAGAAGATTTTGGAATAGAAACGTCGGGGAAGCATCGGAAGCTAAACGAGAAGGTAACCAATTGCCATGAGTTGCTCATCAGGAGACAACACACCCGTGGTCAGTGTGCTTCATTACACTGCCCAAATTCGGGCAAGCAGATTGATATAAGAGCCGTAAAGAGGCCGTAGCGTGCAAGCTAAAAAAATTAATCGAGAATAAAGGCCCGAGAGCAAGAAGGTAAAAGCAAAGTAGAAATGAGGGCAGAGAAAATGACCGTGTATGATTGTTTTCGAGAAAGATGGGAAAAACATTTGTCGGCATCTTACCTGGTTATCCAAGAAGGGCTGCACAAGCGACTGGGCTGCGCCGGCCGCACGACAGGATTCACGCTCGTACGAGCCCACGGGATCAAAGGAGTAGACTGCGCCAGATCCTGTGACGGATGATTTACAGAAAACATCATATCAAACGGAGCGAAGAGGGAGCGACGTCGGAGCAGACCAGGAAGTATAATTGAAAAACGTTAGTCCGTATGTGTATCCGAGGTAAGCGAAGTACACATACCGTCTTCCTCGATTCCGCCAAGGATATTATATACATAGTATGGAAAGAATCGGCGAGCGTAGAGCATAGTTTGTATCAAGCGTGCAATCGCGCGCAAAGGCATGTCTTTTGCGTGTGCATGGCGGTACCACTGTTATCGGGAATCAGTGCAAAGCCGATAAACAATGAAGTGGAGACTGACCTCCAAACGTTGTCTGACTTGTTTCACAAACATATTACCATCTGCTGCAAAACCGTTGACTGCTAATACAGCCTTATCTGTTCTACATAGATCGTTGAGATTGTAAATGATTGCTAGAAACTGGGTGACGCGTCTGGACTTACAATCTGAAAACTTTGGGTGCGTATCGCGTCTGAATTGAGTATCCTTCGCTCTGTCTTGTATCTCCGGCAATAACACTGAAATCAGCACCAGATATCGCCAGAATCGTACCGCCATTTTCGGTGTACGGATTGAACTGACGCTGCTGAGGCTGCCCAGGAGCAGATGAGTGGGGAAGAGTGACCATGTCTGGCATTTTCGAGCAGCAAGATAGAGTGAATTTGGATAGTAGTGGTGGTAATTGTCAGAAGAGAGTCGGGGAAAGAGACGCGCAAGTCTTAAGGGACTGACGCGGCCTGTTGAAAAAGTTCTCACGGTAAAAGATTGAATTAACCGGTAGAAGTTCGGAGTGCACTACATACTCTTTCACTTTCTCGCACAGGAAATCAGAATCTCACCTAGCCGTCTGCCTCTTCGGATGTACTTTTTCGTATCCACCCTAAAAGTATGGCATGTACCCAGAAATTTTCAGAGTTCCTGATGTTTGGGCTGCCTTGGATAGCGTCTCACCCCTTGACAAGATTCTACCGACAAGTCACCGCGTCTAGTGAGTTATGTATCGCATCAAAAGATCGTTCAATAGTTGTTTCTTCCGGCACTCTTTTCTCGGAATACTCAGGAGAATCAACACTCGAATCTCGCAAGTCTCTGCTTTCTGTCAGAAGAACGAAGGTATGAACCCCGTACACCGGCGATCGACGATAATTATTCCGTACATCATGCAACCGAGGCTCTAATTTTGGGTTACAAAGCATTCTCAATGTTTAATGGCGAGTTAAAATGGACTGATTCCAATTTTCCAGCGATAAATCTGGACAAGCGCGTGCCCAATAAGTAGTTGGAGATAGCTAGTCTCACGATTCGATATTCAATGACGTCTGTCTCTGCTACCTCCGTCAACAACGATAATAATCCAACAGTCTTTCTCACTGGATTCTCAGAAAAATGCCGTTACTCCACAACCTCATCGTCCTCAGACCGCTAGGAGCTATACATAGTTGTTACACACATGTCAGATTTTTCAGGCGTTACCCGGACGACACCCATGTTGACTCAACGCCTATACATGACCTAGATAGTCTCAGAGACACTTGAGATCTAACCTTCCGGAGAACGGCACCATCGAATGCATAGCATTCCGCGATAACTATAGCGTTGACAGAATTACCTTCGAAAGAAAGGTCGAAATTAGAGATCGTTCTCTCATAAAACAGGCCGAGCTTCCAGGACTTAGGCACTCAAGTACTCACATCCCACGGCTACCTTCACGTGTAATATATTTCCTCCACTACAAAGTTCATTCTCAAGAATCTACCGCACTTCTTTGATCTCTTAGTCCCCGAGGGCCTCGAGCGTTTGCCGCCATTATTTTCGAGTTGATTTCGCTGGTCGATACTCGGATCGGTAGCTCCGAATTCGCTTCATCGTTCTAGAATCTAAAGTTGACTTTCTCTAGACGGCTGCTGCCGTGCTGGTTTGTACAACCAGACAAATGAGCCTCAGTACGAATTCACAAGTTCAATATAGACTTCCCCTATAGCATGCGACTACGAGAAATTGACAGGTACATACGGCGACGATTTTCTTGACTTCCAGGCTCAGGTTTTCCACCCCAATAGAAGTTCAGCATACCCAACGTCTTATTCGACCTCCTCGGTGACCGCTTGATAGCGGCAAACGAAGATTTCCATTCTGATTGTTCTGGGAATCTAGTCTTAGGAGTCGATAAGCATCGGACTGCGAGTCTCTCTACAGACTGATCGTATTCTCTCAGCAGTCATATGCGTTGCGTTGACGCCAATCTCTCGCCATAGTGAATAACAAGCGCATGATACTCGCCAGGCAGTCTCTAACATCGCGAAGAAAAGATTACTGTGGGCTCAAATCTCGGTGTTGCGTTTCATTTCCCCTGGAACCTTACGCTATCTCGATGCGACTCCATCAG